GGCCGTGATGACCCTCCGGCGCCATCGCCATCGAGCCCACCACCTCTCTACGCCTCCATCTACCCGAGGGAGAGTCTCCCGTGCCTCCCAAACGTCGCCTGCGTCGTGCAGCCTGGACCTCCCGTCTTCCCTGCTCCCCCGACTTCCAATGGAGCCCATCCGCCCCGGAGCATCTAGGTTGTCACGTCGTCTCCCGTCGGGTCCATGTGGGATCTCCGATCATCGACATCAGCTGAGGGCCTGAGGCGAGTTCCATTGCGGGTGGCCAGGGTGCCAAGCCATGGGTGCTCGTGCTGTAACATGTTGGAACTCTGGGGAAAGACCATTTCCATACCCGAGACGAGAGGCGCATCTTGTCCTACTCCATGTACGGAGCATTGATGGAAGGAGGATGGAACAAGGTTTAACTTTGCTGTAGGCTTCTCCAAAAAAAAATGACTGGTCAGTGGTCAATCGGTAAAATTCCGCCGCCATGTGCTACACACTACGGGCTGTGCCCCTCCTGTCGTGCCCCTCGTGCCGAAGCCGGTCCGCAGTGCCCCCTCTGCCCCTCCACGGCGCCCCTCCGGCGCCCCTCCACAGGGTAGGCCCTCTCCCGGAGCCAGGGCAGCACGGGCCAATCCTGGGCTCCTGGGCAAGCCATGTCGCACATCTACCGCTCCCGCTTCCGATCGCCAGGACCCCAGCCGTGTGGACGGTGCTACCCCACACCGCACTACCATCCCACTGCCGCCCCCAAGGCCCGCGAAGATGGACTCTTCAGGCCTGGGCGGTGGCCATTGGGGAATCAAAGCGCCGTTCGGTGACGGGGTCGGGGGACCCCTCGGGTCCATCCAGACCTCCGTCGTCGCGAACCCGCGACTTGCCGCGAACCTGAAGAAGACGGCATGCCTCGAGCCCCTACCACACCAACACCATCGTACGATCTCCGTGGTGCCATTTTCTCGCTCCTGTCCCTCTCGACGCGCCTGCGCCCGCGCCCTGCCTACCGTTATCCCTCATCCTTCGGCGGCCTTCGACGTCACTCCAACATGCCTCTCCACCACTTGATGATCGGGACCTGGACCCCGCCCGGCGCCATCTTCACCGTCCAGTTCGACGACGAGAACCTCACCCTCAAGCTGGTCAAGCGGACCGCCATCCCCGAAGACGAGCCCATATCATGGATGGCCTTTGACGTATGCCAGCCATCACCAATGCCACCACCATGACCGTCGCAGCCCCGCGCTCACACGATGCCAACAGCACACAAAAAAGAACCTATATGGTTCGGCCATGAAGAAATGGTCCAGCTTCGCCGTCAAGAGCCCGACCGAAATCGTCCATGAGGCCTCGCATCCCATGGGTGGGGACCGTACGCTGTTCTCTTCCTATCCAGCCAAGCATCTCAGCTAACAGCCCTCCTACAGCCCAGGCCAACAGCGCCGACACAAACACGCGCGCCATCTTCCTCCTCCCCGCCAAGCAGCCGCCCTACGCCGTCTACGCCAACCCCTTCTACAAGCATGCCGGCTACGGCAACGTCTTCTCGGTCTCGCCCACGGGCGCCCTCGACAAGAATATCCAAAACTACCCCTACCAGCCCAACACGGGCATCCACGGCATGGTCTTTGACCCGACCGAGTCCTACCTCTACTCGGCCGACCTGACGGCCAACAAGCTCTGGACCCACCGCAAGCTCCCCTCGGGCGAGGTCGAGCTGGTCGGCAGCGTCGACGCCCCGGCCCCCGGCGACCACCCGCGCTGGGTCGCCATGCACCCGACCGGCCAGTACCTGTACGCCCTCATGGAGGCCGGCAACCGGCTGTGCGAGTACGTCATCGACCCGGCGACGCACCTCCCCGTCTACACGCACCACAGCTTCCCGCTCATCCCGCCCGGCATCCCCGACCGCGACCCCGCCACCGGCAAGGGCCTCTACCGCTCCGACGTGTGCGCCCTCACGCAGAGCGGCCGCTACCTCTTCGCCTCGGCCCGCGCCAACTCGTTCGACCTCACGGGCTACGTCGCCGCCTTCAAGCTGCGCGACTGCGGCAGCATCGAGCGCCAGCTGTGCCTCAACCCGACGCCCACGAGCGGCGGCCACAGCAACGCCGTGGCCCCGTGCGACTGGAGCGACGAGTGGGTCGCCATCACGGACGACCAGGAGGGCTGGGTCGAGATGTACCGCTGGAAGGACGAGTTTCTGCACCGCGTGGCGCGCGTGCGCATCCCCGAGCCCGGGTTCGGTATGAATGCCATTTGGTATGACTGAGCCGTCGGGTGGTGTGCATGCGCGGGGACGCTGCTGCTGTGGGACTGGAAAATGTCCCGATGGCTAGTGGGCTGTGTAATGAACCTTGGATAGAGTGTACGTGAAGAGTAGACTGGGTCTAGACTTGGCGCGCCAGCCATGTATCGCATAGATGCAAGCAAACTGAACCACATACGTCTTTGAGTGATATGCGCGACGCCCATTCCCATGCTTAAATGACCCAGCCCCGTGAACGTCCGGGACAGGTTCTGCAAGCCACCTGGAAACCCAGTTCTTCGATCTCATCGTGTCTTTTTACCTACATTTCATCTCCTCGTACAAAGGCGCTATGCAGCGTAGTACCCACCCACATCGAGTAAAAGGTGTGGTGCCGATCCTCTTGGTTGCGAAGAGGAGAGGAATGGCAGGGATTAGGGATTCCTACCCGCCACAGGTTGTGTCGAGGTGTATCCATTTGCACTTCTTCCGGCGAGTGTGTAATCGGATGCATCTTGCTGATTTCGTGGTATTTGGTGGCCTCGGTTGGCTGAGATGCGTATCAGAGTGATGGTGGTGATGGTTTTTGGGCCAGTTCCCTTTGTTTACTTGATTCAGGGGTAGCGCCGACCCCTGCCCGCGCCACCACCCGGAGACCTGCGCTGCTTCAAATCGTCCGCCGACAACCTGGAAATCTCCATGAGAGTAATAGTCGACATTGGACGTTTTAGTCCTGCTTCTTGAAGCGATCGGCCACTCTCCCTTGACACAAGGGCTCACCGGGGTGCTGGGGTCGGTCTCAAATTGCAACTCATGCTCTCAAGTTATGATTGGTATTCTATACGCTGAAGCCTGACGCTGTGTATGATATTCTACGCTTGTCTCGCCAGCTATGCCACAAATAAAAACTCGTCGTCTCAGGACCCGGGTATCGAGAAGCAATCGATGAAAACATCCATTCAACCAACATCTTCCCTGTCAGATTTCACCCTCACTCAATAAATCAAGGTTTCCGGGCCAGGGATCCAGACGAGAACACCTTTCGAAGTCGATTGCGCGTTCCGGAAGAAGCCAGGTCGGACTGTTTCTTCGCTTGTTGGTCCGGGTGAGACGTGCTTGGGCCAGCAGTTGCCGCAGAATCGTCCCAGTCGAGCGCCCCAGGGAAGTTCATTCCGGCCAAGTCCATGATGTTTGGATTTGGGGTTGGTGGTCCGTCTGGATCAGGCCCGCCCATAACCCGAGCCGTCCTCTTCTTCATCCTGGCGGCCAGGCTCTTGGGGGATAACCCCTTCATAATTGTCCGGGTCCGGCGGGGACTCTCCGCCCGTTTCGTGGTGTTACCGAGTGGCTCAGCGAGGGTTTCGGTCTCAGACAGGGGGCGATCCTCTGGCTCCTCGTCCAAAGAGCTTGCCTTGTACTGGACTGCCTGGATGCAATTTATTGAGATACTGAATTCACCAGCTTGCACTCCGCCGAAACTAAAACCCGGAGACATAGCGTTAGAATCATACCTCTGCTCATGACTGGACCGGGAAGACTCACCCCCGATGGACAAGGCTGACACTCCCAATATTGCTCCACGGTGGCAGTCCCAGGATGTCACGACCAGATGGTTCGTTCTTGTAGTATGGCTGAAAGCCCTCAAATGGCAACCTAACCTTCACGGGCATGCCGGACGGGGCAGCCCAGTCTGGCAGCGGACTATGCTCACTGGTCGTCAGTCTGTGGCTTGGTGTTTGTGCTATCAGCGTCTTGATACTTACGGGACGGTGAAGGTGTGTTCCTAGCTGGCCAAATCCCAATCGACCCCCTTCACCACATCCTTGCCATTTGAGCCCGGATCAGGGTGGTTCCGAGGGTGCACCGCGATGGAATACGTTTTGCCGTCTGCCTCGGCCACTTCCACGACGAGCGCATGGAACCCGGACAAGTCGGGGATGGGTATACTAGGAAAGACACGCCGACGAGCAGCAGGCCAGGGCTTTGGCGGTGGAACGAAGGGGCTGTAATCGAGGGCTGGGGCCGGGTCAGTGATCATGTTGTCTCGTCTCAGGACTAACACACGGGGAGGAAGGGAAGTGGGACGCACATCCTTGGAATGTAATAGACTCCGACCATTCCTCCTGTTTCGAGCCTTTATGTATGGGAGAATGGGGACCGAGGCCACCTGGCCGGATGCTGTTCGGTCTAAAGACGCGGCAGTGCGACTTGATGTCCGGACCATCGGTGTGCCACATGACGCTGTCCTACCTGTATTGGACGTGGTTCGTCAGCGCGAGGATCGTTCAAGGCAAGGTGGTGATAACCATGCCCATAGCAAGCACTGGCGCAGACGGGGCACATGTGGTGGACTTACAGTGACAACCCTCCCACGATATCCCAGGTTTGGGCGTAGTCGTTTCCCATTGTGTGCTTTGTGTCTGTGTCTGAGCGGGTGGAGAGGAGGACGATGGCAGCCCGATACTGAACCCAAGTCCAATGCAGAGAGGAAATTATCTTCGCGAGATAACCAGAGGTGTTCCCGCCGCCATGCACCTTCCTCACACCTGCTGCCTTTCTGGACATGAGAAGAAACTCCTCGGGGCATCGTTCCTACCTTGAATATGCCCGCACTAGCCCACTATGGTGGAAGCCATGTATTCCTCTGCTGATCCAATCCCAGCTGGTCTTTCTCTTCGTGAATCAAGGACCAGCAAAAAGAAAGCCGCTTGCATATCGAAACTAGATTGAAGGAGAAAATGTAGATACAGGCAGCAAAAGGCAAAAAGTTGGGCTCTGCCGGGATTTGAACCCGGGACCTCGCACAGTGACTCTCATGAGATGAGAGGGGATTGTTCCCGAAGCGCGAATCATACGACTAGACCACAGAGCCTTTGGATTGGTTGTGAAAAGGGGTGCCGAATTGCGTCCGATTACGTACACCAGAGCCTTTGACCGCTCTCTTGAAACAAAGATTTGGTGTGCTGTCTCACCTTTCCCACAGGGGCATGACCGCGTCGAATCTCACTGCGCTGCCGCTGCATCTGACACCTTTGTAGGGCTGAAGGATGCGGGGTTGACTTTTGGAGAAGAGAGCGCGTCGGTACCGCCAAGATCTCAGCTTGGCATGGTTTTGGGAGTTCCTCGAAATGGACGCCCTCTTTTTTGACTCGAGAAGTCTCGAAAAACTCGAGAGTGACGATGTTGTGCAGCAAAGAAGAAACTCGCTGGTGACGATGTTCCTTGACGGCGCCAATACGCCAGCAATAACATTTTGTCTGCCGCTGCGTGATACATGAAGGATGGCAGTGCCCAGGTTAACTCATCCAGTCACCAGCAGAGGAACTGAGATCCTTCTGCAGCCTGTGCTGCGTGTAAGTCTGTCGTGTTGTGGTGGTTGATCCCCGACCTTGCTCGAGCGAATCATCAATAGCAAGTCCACAGGCGAGTTAGGCATTTACTTTTGAACTACGGACACAAGGACCTGTGAGTGAGTACCGACTACCGAGGGTGTCGTTGGCGGCGCGGTGCCCATCCGCTTCCCCGTAGGCTCTTGTCTCCGACCGCCGCCGGCTATTCGAGCGAGACTACCGCGCGTATATGCAGCGATTTACAGCTCTTCTAGTCGGCGTCGAGCTACCGTCTGCGTTGTGATGCGTCCGCCAGGCAGTGTTGCTGGCCGTACCAGACAGCAGCATCGGACTTGCAAAGGATGAAGGTAGCCCCGGCGGACGACCTTGGACAATCTGCAGAGCATTGCGCGAAATGCAAACGGACGGTTGTCCTTCGGTGAGAGAGTTGGGCGTCCGTTTTGGTTGGCCTGTCCCTTCGCTCGAGCTTTGGCGGGCAAAATTAAGGCAAGCAAATTCCCCGCGGCGTTTTTGAAAGTTATGTCCTCTTTCTGGAAGTCGTAGGAGATTTGCACTTGCTGCTTGCTGCTGGGGTTGAAACCCGCGATGGCATGGAGGCACTGGAGGATCCCGTCGCATCGTAACTCTGCGCAAAACGGCCAATCAGAGGCATCGGTAACTGATCCGAGGAAACGGACCCACCCGTGAATGCTGCCCTCACTGCCCGCCTTCCAGAATGCGGCAGGAAGCTCCCGCCGTTTGGCCGAGGCACAGGGAAAGGGACAGAACGACCTCCATCTTCGACCACGCGTCCATCGTCTGTCTCCTCGCACTCGCACTTTAATCCAAAACTTGAGCGAGGAGGATCAGAGCAACGCAACATGGAACCTCTCAGCCTCTCTCCCTCTGCAGCATTCACCACAGGCGGCAATTTGAGCCACGTCTGTGTGTACGCGCGCAAAACGCCAGTCGAAAAGTCTCCGGCGATGCAACACTGCCACGCTTTTGATTCCAAATCCGGAATTTAGCCCACGAAGCAAGGGTGCTTTCTCTTGACCCCTGTCCCCATTGTCAAGCCCGAGCGACGACCAAATTCGATCATGATAACGCCGAGAGCAACCGGACGAAACACCATGCCTCCAAGTCCCACGCCCGCCTGCGCAGACCGTGTGCTCATCGGCCCGGACGGTTACTTTGGCCTGCTTCAGCCTACTCTGCCCCTGAGCTATTCAAATCACGTTCGTCAACGGTCATGCACGGTCCCAGTGTGTACTTACGGTATACGCATCCAGGCATCCTTCGCGCGGGTTGACGGCGAGACGGGGGCACCATTCTACACAGTATGGAGTAGTTTGTTGGCTTCTCTCTGTCACCTTGTCTCCGAAAGAATAACCCGTGACTCGAGTGGGTTCTCGATCGCCGCGTGGTCGATATCACCGCCACAAAGGCTTGCGACGCCCATCGCAGCGTCTGTCACGCGCAACAGCTACACGGAAATAACAGAACCCGACCAAGACCGTTGGAGATGTTTGCCCTTCAAAGGGGCCCCAGTCTGTCATCACGCCGCGAAACACTGGTAGTCGGGACTCGGGACCAGCTCCGTCTTCGCCCCCAATCCCGTCGGGCGCCCCCTTTCCCACCAACCCCTTACTTGGACGGCACCGGGACAGCGCATTGCACTCGTCAATCTCCCGCGTCCTCCACCATTCCGAGGTTACAGAAGGGCCGTGATGGCCTCGGACTTTGCACCTCATTTCCAATTATTCTATGCACTTCTGGTCGGCCTTGCTTTGCCTCACGGGAGCGTATCTTCGTTACGACGGCACGAGTCGTCTGACTTGCCGCATGGAGTCCTACGTTACTCCAAGTCTTGCCAGTTTCTCATGATGCCATGTCCGTGTTCTCTTCGGACTGGACGGCCAGCGGCCATTTCTACGACCGCCTGTTACCTCGAGACCGCTTTATATGTCTTCGAACTCCCGTTCCCGGACATATCCCCCTAACGTCCGCGCGGCAAGAGGGGTTGCGGTAGATGGAGGCAGACCGAAACCGACTGATCACAACTCCTCCGGCCCGTCCACGGGTCCGGATGCTGGCTCGCAATACCGAGTTACAAGTTGAGGCATTCGTCCGTGATGCCATCGCAAGGAACAGAGTTCGTCGAGGACGGGAGCCACGGTCATAACACCCAGCGACCCTGCCAATACCATCCTCCTCTCTGCCATAACTGCGCCTGTCAAATGCACTGACACAGTGTTGTTTCGGCCTGGTTGGCTGGCTCGGTTCCAGACCCGAACGTCCATCCAGATAAACTGAAGAGAGGAAACCAAAAGGCCCGTCCCTGTTTCCGTTGACGATTTTCACACGCCCTCGCCCAAGTCAGTGGTTGGGCAATGGGCAGAGGTAGTTATGCCCCCTGTCTCGTCGTGGCTGGAAACGGAATATGCCATGGCTGCCGGCACGTACTACTGCGAGGTCCTCGCGACAGCGGCGGACAGCCCCAAATCGGGGCCCCATCGGCCGGCCAGGCCAGGCAGCCAAATTGTTGGGCCTTGGGAACAGGGCAGTACCGTCCACTCACAACAAAACAGCACTTGCGCTGTTTTAGCGTCACGTCACGCGAATTCTTATTGTTTTCCCGTTTTGGATGGGTGGATGGGGGCTGCGAGGTCCCCGCCTTCCGCACCGCCGCGCCCTGTCGCCGAACGACGCCGGAGCTTCCTCTGCGTGCTCTGCTCGGTGATGAGGGTGGGATGGGGCGGCGGTTAGGTCCCAGGGCTCTGTGATGAACCACGTCCCGCCAGCCAGCAGAGTGCCCGACGCAGCCCTGCGGCATCGACGGGAACTTTCAATCTACCGACCGCGGTGTCGAAACTCTGCCGTTTGGAATCATACCTCCGCCCTGTGTCTTTTCCGAGCCTGCTATCAAAAACGTCGGGCCCCGAGTGCGAGAAGCGAACGTCGCGCTCGCATCTGGAAATATACATTGGCTATGCGGGGATGGTTGTACACACGACAGGTCCTACCTCTTGAGCAAGTTTCTGTCCCGTCAATGGTTCATCATGATGCCCGGCGGCCAGCAGCGGCCCCAAAAAAAGGACTTACCGCTCCATCCGCTCGGTCCCTTGTCCGCCTTGTTTTCTCCGCCCAACGGCACTTGGGGCGGCGGCGGTGAATGAATGCGAGAAGGGGACGTTGTTGGTCCGCTGTCCGAGTCCGCGCCCGCGCCGGCTCCCGCGGCGTCCGTTGGGTCCGTGTCGTCGGCAGTATTTGGCGTGCGTGACCGCCGGATGGCGCGAAGAGCTAAGGGGGGGAAGGACAGAAAGGAAAAGAGGATCGGAATCTGGCACCAACGTCCATCCATCCATCTGCAAGGTCCTCGATACATTGGCGGATGCCTGGAGCGCATCGAGGTACCTAGGTCGGAATATGGCTGGTCTCATCACCACACCATTGAAATAGGACATGGAAAATGCCGTTGGTGAAATTCTGCCCATCCATCCATCACACCTTGCCCAGCAGACTGCCACGATGCTGGGGGAACGGGGAGCTCGATTGTCGTCTGACATCCATCTCACTGCTGCTGCCCTACGAGGTTGGAGGGCCGGACGCAGCATGTCAGAAAGCCGTTGGACCTTTATCGCGGGCTCTCCCTCTGGTGGCCGGGTGTGCTTGACGACACACCGGCAAAGATAACGACGGGGGAGGGGAGGGGGGGGGGGACCGAGAGAGGGTTCTTTGTCAGATTCTTAATTCCGCCCTGTCCCAGCCGCCGGCTGCCCAGCAGATCTCACCCGCCGCGAGAAATCTCACCAGTACCCGGCACCCTCGTGGGAGAGGAGCTGGGGTCTTGTTGGGGATGTGAAAAGCAAACCTCTCCCCGTGAGAATGGATGTCAACGCTGGTGAGAAAGGGCTCTTGAACAAAGAGAAGAAGAAACGAATTGTTGCTCACGCTCGGGCGGGCTCGAGGACCAAATTCCCGGCGCCAAAGGAACCTCCTCGAACCTCGCATTAGACCCACCCGGGTTCCGAACTTCCGTTTGTGTCCTTGGCGCTGAACAACCGGCAAGTTCCATTGTCGCAATGATTTGACAGCAACCCGATCGCAAACTGGGCAAATTATCCCACTTCACCTCCCCCGTATTTCGTATCCCGTACCGCACCGACCCCCCCATTGGAAATCAATCCAAATCCCATCACAAATCACCTTTCCAGGGCGCAACGCACCCGGAGAAGACGTGGGAGGAAGTTCGGGCAAATTCTAGGGTAGATAGGCAGTCGAGACAAAGTCCCCGAAAGCCCGAGAAGGGGATCAGCGAGCGAGAGCGTACCGACCGGTGCTGCTCCTGCGTATTCCCCTCTCCCACTCTGTCTTCCTCGCCGCCCCGCGCCCCCCATTTGTGTCGCGATGCTGCATCCCAAGGAGAAACTTGCGCGAGAGGCAAGTGGAGCGTGGATCGCTGCTGCGGAAATCGGACTCGCCAATGAGCACCGCCGCGGGTGCTAGGGGAAAAAACCGCCGACGGAGTTGGGGGAGTTAA